CACAGCTCAAAACTGACATTAATATCATGCTTATTTTTAAATACATCCCTAAATGCACAAAAAAATCAGTAGGGCATAAGTATCTTTTAAATACTAAATGAAATGGAATGAATTTTAAAAGACTCCAAAGTGATTTCCAGGCAAGCCCATTCAAATTCCAACAAAGTATGGACCTTAAATAAACTACAACTAGTTGACATGAAGTAGTTGTTCTCCAAAGTTCCTTCTTCCACTTCTTCCACTTTCAGGAAACAGAAAGGAATTTGTAAGCACAGGCACAATCTTTTATATCTGAAAAAAAAATAGCAATTTAAAATATATTTATATTGCGTTTTCCTTAAGGAAAACAAATATCGTTAAATTACACCAGGAAATACTAATAGACACTTTCAAATCACATCACACTTAAAGGGCCCAGATTTTTATTATCTCCATGACAAGAGAAAGGGCAAAAAAGCCCACGGGAATAAGGAGGAAGATCTCAATTTCCTTCATATTTTGCACTCTTGCAAGTGTGATAGCCCAAATTTTGTAATGCAGGATAAACAGGATGGCTTCCCATGTCCTGCAGAACTGGATAAAAACTACATGAATCCACAGAAATTAATAAAGGTGGTAATAAAATTGCTTTGAATGCATAAAGGGTTGAGCAGGCAACAAGATCTCAATGAATTCTTCAGTAATTTTTTTTTATTCTTTAATTAAATAATTGTTTAAGTAATTCTGCAATAAAGAATTAGAAGACTTGTTTCTTAAATGCACTGTCAGTTTATCTACAAGCTTAGTTTTGCACACAACAGCAAATAGGGATGGTTAACTGAAAGAAGAAAAATGGATAACTGTGCCCATTTTTCCAGTTACTCATCATCAAAGTTATGTCTTCACATCAAATAGACAACATTTCACTTTCCCCTCTGTGGTTTGCTGGTGTTGGAAAATAAAAAAAAAAGACAGAATCATCATTAAAGTTAAGAACCAGAGATACAGACAAGGGGTTGGTTACATCTACATTTAATTTATTGTCATCTGGCTGGATTTCAAGTCAATGACATGCATTTCAGGTTGATTAACAGTTATAAGCCTGTAGGAACGTGAGAGTCGTGAATGGGCTGGGAAATTCGGATGGGAATTCTGTAGCTGAGCTCTGACACCATCACATGAGCTACCAAGAGATACAGAAGTAAGCACACCAAGTGGCAACCTTCACTTTTACATGACAGAGAAATCTGTCTAACAAAGAAAGAATTTAAAAAAAAAAAAGAAAAGAAAAAAAGAAAGGTTGAGTGGGCCTCAGGCAAAGCAATACAGTCCTTCCATTTCTACACCAGAAAATACAGTTCTTAAAAGCAGATGCCAAACTGAGTTGGGTATGCAGCAAGGTTTAGGATGTTTGGCTTAGTATAACTCCCATCTGAAGGGAGATGTTCCCATGCCCAAGCTGGAGAGGAAGTCATTGGGCTGGTTCAGTTGTCACTCTTTCTCCTCTGTCAGCACGTGGCTTTCTGAAGAATCCTCACTCGGTTGCAGTCTCGGCACGTCGTTTCTCTCTCATCAGATCCCAAAGTAAAAGCTGCTCCAGCTCCATTTACCTTATGCAGCTCCCCCCCACACTGTCAATTCAAACCTGAAGGAGCCTTTTGAAGTCTCTCAGTCCTCTTTCCTTGAGTCAGGAAACCTTCGGGACAGTTTATGATCTATGTAAGCACTAAGACAGGACCACAAAATGAATCGTATTAATATAATTACAACCAGCAAAATCATCAAAAGGGCCGATTCCATATTTAAGCTAGAATAATGAGGTAATGTGAACAAAATACTCTGGGAGATCTAATTATATAATGCAGTATTCAGTTCTGCACGGCCAGCCCAGCGATTCCTCTAACATTCCAATCAAAGTGATCTCACTAGCATGTGAGAGAAGAGTCCAGCTGACAGATTTGGGACATGTAACGTACTATTTAGTCAAGAGGCCCCATGTGCTATTCATAAAGAATTAACAACTCTTATATTGACAATGACAGTATTGTCAGAAGACCTTTGGAAGGAGGGAGAGGGGGGGGAAAAAAAAACCTCCATAAACTCCCTCTCTGTGAAGTTGGACTTCTTTTTTTTTTTTTTTTTTTTTTGCCCCTTTTTTCCAATGCTGATGTAATCTCCAAACATCTCCAGCAGCAGCTGCTCGGCGAAACCAGGCACCTTCTCCCTAGTCCCTTTCAGCAGCACACGCAGCACTTTCCAGCTCCCTCAAGACAATCAGGGCCTTTCTTTCACCAATTAGCTATCACTTCAAGAGTCCTGCGCTGTCCAACGAGCTCTTAAGAATGGTCTTTGCAGGAAACAACACTGGAGGAGCTTTCTTTTTTTTCCCTCCTAGACAAATGAAAAGGGGAAGAAGGGAGGGAGAGGAGGGGGAAGGAAAAAAAAAAACAAAACAACAAACCAATAAAAAACAACAAAAGAAGCACAAGAAAACAAATCAGAACACAGAAGCTGTCCAAAATGCATCGCTCATTTAGTGCATCGACAGAAATGTCCTCAAGAGCCAAGGCTAGAGGAAAGCACACACACATACACAAAAATGCTCCCACTTTCTTCAAGAGAGAGATTGTTTTGTCAAATATGTTAAAAAGGTTTTCATAGAAAGGGGTGCTCTTGTTACAGCAAGTCCCTGAGCTGTAGGAACCAAAGGGCAAAGAAACTCTGGTAGGATTATGCTCTGTTTCCTTATTTGGCTCTCCAAATGTAAAGCAGCATTATTTGAAGGAGACATTGCAGGAAAGAACTCGGTTTAGCTCACTTTAAATATAGATGGGTTGATGAAATGAGTAATTACTGGAACTGCTAAGATCTTTTCGAACTTGCTCCACCAGCAAGCTCCTTTCCCCAGAAAACCGCACTTTCCATCTAAAAAAGAAATTAGAGCCTGATTCAGAGACGTGAAGCTTCGGGAGTTCCACGTTCTTTTTCCTTTTAAATCAGGGAATAGGCACAGTAATACCTTGAGGTCCCTGTGGATGCCAAGGCTTAGCACAACTCCAGGATCCAGTTCAAGAAGAAAACAAGGAACTTCTGTAGATGTTTAAGCAATTCTTTGCCTGGGCCTGGACGAGTAGAGCTGTGAAGGCAAAAACGGGAAGGATCAGCAGTAAGTGAAATGACTTGGACACGGCCCAAGCAACAGCCTGGCTGCTTCCCCCGATTTTCAAAAATTCTGCATTAAACCAAAATATTGACTGCCAATATTCTCTCAAAGTACCATTTTCTGGTCAAATTTGTCCTTGATCAGGGTAACCTCACGAGAGTCAGCACATTGCCTCCTACAAGGCCAACACACACATTTACATTGCAATTAAAAATAAAAATACTCTGTTGCCCTTTACTGACTGCGTATCAGAAGCAAAGCCCTGGGCTTTGTAAACAGCTAAATGGCACAGCAAAGCAAATACTCTGAGGGGTTCCCTCACCTACCACATGGATTTTTTTAATGGAGTTGGAAAGTTGGAAAGAACTGATCAGAATGCTTAGAGGGAAAGAAAGTCTGATGTATTACCCTGCATGCATTTATGAAGGAATGTGAATCAACTCAAATTCCTCTGCACAGGAAGGCTCAACCAAGGGATGAGTACACACAGTCAGGATTAAGAAGGAATCTTTGTGGAGGTGCACTGAATAATGAGTGTCTTTTTTATACCTACATATTTCAAAAGATGCTGAGTTAAAGAGGGATTGCTCCTTTCAACTAGTGAATATTTTTAATGAAAAAATGCAGCAGGCTGGAGAGAACAAATATATACACACATAGATATATATATATATATATATATGTTACTGGGGCCACCTACAGTCACAGGAAAAAGGATGAAAGGGACCCAAAAGGTCTATCAGCTTGTCCTAAAGCAAAATCAACCAGGCCATTCCTGACAGCTGTTTCTCTAACCTGGTTTTTTTTTCTTTTTCTTTTTTTTTTTAAGAGACTGACATCCCAACAGATGAGAAGAAAGGAAATCAACATCTCATCTGAAAGGGATTTCAGCAGGAAAAACAGTTTGAAGAACTGTTCAGTGGCTCTACCTGTTACAGCACCACCACTGTCAGCTCCAGCCGGGGGCTCTACATCACTTACTCGCTTGGGCAACTGGCTCATTTTGTAGCTGTAAAATAACAGCTGATAACATTAGCTAGTAACATCATAATTATAATAATAGTAAATAATTAGCTAATAGCAGGTTGAGGCAATGACACCTGCCTTTTTCCAGAAAAGCAATATCTGTCCCTCTGGCTGGATGTCACTGGATGCACCTGAAAGTGCATCTTGGGTGACACCCAGGATTGCTGGAAACCACCAGCAGGATTTTAGCAATTCCCACATTGGCTAATGCAGTAACCCAGCACATCCCATGCCCTGGCCATCATCTCCAGCCTGTATATTGATAATTACCGTCTGGATTTTGCAAAATTTATGTTTCCACACAGCAAAAATTCCTGGCACCACTTTCTTAATGATTTGCCTTTTTGTGTCATATCACCAATAAAAGCATCCCCTCTGTTCAGAGTTTGTTTTGTTAAAATCACTTCTCAACTCGTCATCTCCCTAGAGAGCAATGGCATGATAGAACAGTGTTCCTGACGGGTGATATTTTATTACTAACGTATGTTTTCATTACATAACTGACTTTTTTACCCTGTTCTGTTACAAATATTTATTGAAATCCTCTAATTTGGAACTATTTTTAAAATTCCATGTTTTGCTTTTAAATTGTTATGCAATTAATTATCCTGATCATCAGTGCCCATTGAAGGGTAGTCTGGCAAAAACAATTAGGTGTTATGCAGTTTTGTTGACTTTAAAATGTGAGGCAACAGGTTTCACACCTTATTTTCCAGTTCCCCTGCAAAGCAGGTCTATCATCTCCTAAAATATCACTACATTCCTGAAATTTCAAAATATCAAGCAAAGTTACAAGTGACAAAGCAGACAATACAACAACAATCACAAAACACCCACTCTTGCCATCAGTTTGAAATACACCCCGAAACATTATTAAATTAGAATTAAAAAATGGAATATTTGACTTACTGCATTTTGCCACGCATTCAAAACTCAGGGTACCTACAAAAGGAAACAGCAAAGAGCTGCAGGAGTTGGTATGGCTAACAAGAAGTTCCCAGTTCTTTGTTAAGAGAAAAAGAAAAATTCAAGACCAGCACTTATCTCTCAGAACCATGTGCCTTCTACAGTTATCAGTCAAAAAAGGCACCTTGCTCCAGTTTGCATATGTGAAATCTCCTGAACAAGCATTCCACATCACACTGGAGAACAAAGATACCACTTGAAAAGAGGCAGATCAAGGTCTTCACAGCTTTAGAGGACAAAACCTGACGTTCAAGGTCAATTCCTGCTTCACATAGGTAGTGATAACACGCACATATCGAGATCGTTCCATGTTGCATTGAGCCAAAGCAAAGTCAACACCTGCCCCACTGGTTTTCTACTGGAAAATCCCCAGCAGAATCCCACCACAGTCAGTTCAATATTCCCATTTCCATGATCAAGAAAAAAAAAAAAAAAGGAGAGAAATAAGTTACTGCATTTGTTATGTATTTCTTCCCTTAAGACTAATTTCAGTGTCCATAAAACCGGAAGTATCTGTAAAACTCCAGCTCATCCTAAAAGGTCTCACAGCCAAAAGTGAAATTTAATTGCAAAAGGAAGGGCACAGACTGCAGGGGAAAAAAACCTCACAATAAAAGTGAGGGGAAAGGACAAGCAGAAAATGAAGCAAAAACTCATAAATCAGTCTTAAAAGTCATTACCTGAAGACATCTGTATTTCAAAAGAAGACTTGATGAGACCTCTGCAGTTATGGAGCTGTCATTCCTCAATCACCTCCACGTGCTGCTGGATGTGGCAATGCTTATAGCAGTAGATATTTTGGTTCCCTTTCATTTCTAGGAATTTCTTGCTAGGAATGTCATCAGGACATGACCTGGTAGTAGCAGAATAGATCACATATATGCCATTTGATACTTAGTCGTACCAATTAATCAAAAGTTTCATAATATCCAAAACGCCCACCTAGTTGTGGACAAACATAACAACTGAAACATATTTAGTGACTCAAGTGAAAGAGCCTAGAATAAATATTTAGGGTTTAGGTTACAAAGTTCAGAGTAGCTGAGCAGTTTGCATAAATTCAGCAGAGAATTTAGTTAGTGTTATTTTTGACAAAACAGTGTTTCAACCAAAATGTCGTTTTTTCAAACACAGAGATCTGGCTAAACGTGCTTCAGTTTTTACAAAATATTTGTCAAGAGCTGCTTTTCAGGTCCATTAAATTCAAGATCAGTGCAAAACAGAGACTCTCCAAACATTATACAGCCAAGGCGCTCATGCATAAAACCACAGTTTGAGTCTTTTGACAAGTGCTGTGGTCACCTATCTCTGGGCTATTCCCACGTCTCTCTTGACTTAAAAACCTTTTTTTTTTTCTTCTCACTGTGCACAAACCAGACTGGGACCTTAAGAAATGTCACAGGATGTGAAACTCCCTTCCCCCTTGCCTGTAACTCCACATCTTTGGCAGATTGGGGGGGCTGCTGAAGGTTCTATTTCCTCTGGTTTCACTTGGAGGATGCTCCTTCCTGTGCTCTACCAAAACCAGATCAAAACCTGCCCCTGGTTTACAATTAAATTCAGGTTTCCTACTCATCCTTTGTTTTGACAGCATAAGCCAGTTTAGACAGAGGTAAACTACAACACAACTGCCATTTCCCTACAAGGTTCGTAACATGAAAAACTTGACTAAATAAAAATCTGAACTTTCTAAAACTTATCACAGGCAAAACGCGCTTTGGCAAACCACAGACCTTGGAAAGAACTTGAAGATTATATCACACCACCCACAAAATGCAGTTATTGAAAAGAACTGTTATCCTCTGTGCGTGATGGAAGGTAAACATTTCACATGCTGCACAGCCACAGCTCCAAACCTCATTTTTCTGTTTAAAAATGGAAGTCGGGCATTCAGCAAACTACATTGTGTTTTGGAGGAGTTTTTCATTCCACTAGCAGGTTATCCTGCTTACTTTTAAAGTCTCTTTGCACACAAAAAGAAGGGGAGCTGGGGCAAAGAAGGAAAGAAAAGAGTCCATTTGAAAAAATTACACTGCTAGATTACAAGAGTTGAAAGCTGGTATGTAACTTTGCTCCGGGTGATCAAACTGCTAATCAGGAATGCTGTTGGGAACAGAATGGAATTCCAAATAAATTAGCCATGTCCAAGAAGCCAATACAACACAGGATTAAGGCTCACAAAGAAAACAAATTTATTCAGCCTACTTTATCAGAATTCTTAATAACGTGTACTAGTTTTTCTCATCGCAGTCTGAGCTCTTCCACTGGAACAGTGGGGAGAAGGAAAAATGAGTCACACTTCATAAATCTCCGACTTGTACAGACACCTAAAAATGTTATGTAGAGCAAGACACACAATACCATTATATATATATAAATACATGCTTATCACAGCCATGGGAGAAATGTGCACATTTATTTCTCCCTTATTTATTTTTGAGGCACCTGATGGAAGAAAAGATACTACACCAATCCGTGTAAATATACAGAGCTGAAGGAAAAGTTTAGAGCTGCATGGATCTCCACACCACTCATGAAATGAGCTTCAATACCACAGTATGTGAAACACTGAATTAAAAAGCCAGCTACAGAAATAAATCTCTCTCCTGCATGACCATCCTGTGCATCACCGTTTTTTAGCAAGTATAAAGAGAAAAATTCCTGTGCCCATACACTGCAGTGCTGAGGCTGAGGCACTGTCTGCAACTCAAAGCATATTCTGTTTTCACCTCTGACAGCATCCCAGAGAAATATTCATGATAGTTTATGCCAAAATCGCAGGAACATTAAAAGATGTGTTAAATTTCTGCTTTCCCTCGAGTTGGGATTTTAATCTTTATCAGGTTGGTTTTCTTCATCTCTGAAACAGAGATTTTAATAGTTTCTTATCTATAATGTGATTTGAAGACAGAACTGGATTTTGTGATGCATTTTGGTAAAAATAAAATTAAAAAAAAAAAAAAACGAGAGAGAGATTAAGTACTTCTTGCAGGATCTAGACATGTTGGGTGAAACTGTCCTGACCGTATATAATTTTCTGAAAAAGAAATAAATACGTAAATCATAAACATTTTCTAACTTCAAGCCATACATTGTCCAGTACACTTATCCACTGGAAAATAAGAGAGTGAGTACAGCACCACTTACATTTACATGACTTTGCCACATTACCTTGAGAATCTGTGCATGCCCGGACTTCCTGTAATAAAATTCATCAAGCAAGCCACTGGTGAGTGTTGGGGATTCATTTGTCTGCTGGTTCCCAGCCATGGCACTGCACCAGCAGTTTGACACACATGGTCAGTGTGTTAGGTGTCTT